TGTCTATGGAGAATGCATTGACATGGGACAAAGCAGCAGCCATGGAGACCCTGAGGGGCTCTTGCAGTAATGAAGAAAGATAATGGCCTGAAATAAGATAGTAGTTATGAAGACAGAAAGAGACCTGTGATAAATAAGTATTTTGGTTAGCCAAGACCTGTGATTGATTACAGTTGGTTACCTTTGGTAGTGAGGGAAAGAGAGTTGACCTTTTTTTCAGGCATACCATTAAAAACACATATTTTCTAAGCATCATTTTATTTAAAGAATCAGTTCGGATCAGTGCTGGAGATCCTGGATAGAGTGAAGGAACAATGTGGAACAGAACTCAAAATCATTAAAAAAAAAAAAAAAAAAGACCAGGTTTACTGGTCTGATAGAGCTCAGTGAGACCCCTTAGACTGTGGCCCCAAGTTACCCTTCAAGTCTGGAACTGAATTCACTCCTGTGGGTTCCAGCCAAACAATAGACAGGCATATGGGGTGAATGTTTACATTTGTTGTTGTTGTTGTTAAGTGCCGTCAAGTCGTTTCCGACTCATAGCGACCCCATGCACAGCAGAACGAAACACTGCCCGATCCCGCGCCAGCCCCACAATCCCTGCTATACTCGAGCCCATCATCGCAGCCACTGTATCAATCCATCTCCCTGAAGGCCTCCCCCTCTTTCGTCGACCCTCCACCCTACCAAGCATGACATCCTTCTCCAGGAAATGGTCCCTTCTTACAACATGACCAAAATAGGTGAGACGAAGTCTGGCCATTCTTGCTTCCAAGGAGCATTCTGGCTGCACTTCCTCCAGGACAGATCTGTTAGTTCTTTTAGCAGTCCACAGTACTTTCAGCATTCTTCGCCAGCACCACAACTCAAAAGCATCAACTCTTCTTCGGTCTTCCCTATTCATTGTCCAGCTCTCACATGCATACCAGGCGATTGGAAATATCATGGCTTGTGTCAGGCGCACCTTAGTCCTCAAGGAGATATCCTTGCTCCTCAGCACTTGAAACAGTTCCTTCGCAGTTGACTTCCCCAATGCTACACGTCATCTAATGTCCTGACTGCTGCTTCCGTTGGCATCGATTGTAGAACCAAGCAATGGGAATTCCTTAACAACCTCAATCTTCTCTCCATTTATTATGATGCTGCTCATTGGTCCAGTTGTGAGGATTTTTGTTTCCTTTATGTTGAGATGTAATCCATACTGCAGACTGTATTCTTCAACCTTCATCAGTAGGTGCCTTAAGTCATCCTCACTTTCAGCAAGCAAAGTTGTATCGTCTGCATATCTCAGGTTGTTAATGATTCTTCCTCCAATCCTGATACCATGTTTTTCTTCATATAGTCCAGCTTCTCGGATTATTTGCTCAGCATATAGATTGAATAAGTGTGGAGAAAGAATACAACCCTGACACACTCCCTTCTTGATTTTAAACCATGTGGTGTCCCCTTGTTCTGTTCGAACGACAGCCTCCTGGTCAAGGTACAGATTCCTCATGAGTACAATCAAGTGTTTGGGAATTCCCATTCTTCTCAATGTTATCCATAATTTGTCGTGATCCACACAATCAAATGCCTTTGCATAGTCAATAAAACACAAGTAAACATCTTTCTGGTATTCTTTGCCTTGAGCCAAGATCCATCTGACAACAGCTATGATATCCCTTGTTCCACGTCCTCTTCTGAATCCGGCTTGAACCTCTGGAAGTTCTCTATCAATATACTGCTGCAAACGTTTTTGAATTATCTTCAGTAATATGTTACTTGCAAGTGATATTAATGATATTGTTCTATAATTTCTACATTCTGTGGGATCACCTTTCTTTGGAATGGGCATGAATATGGCTCTCTTCCAGTCAGTTGGCCAGGTAGCTGTCCTCCAAATCTCTTGGCATAACTGAGTGAGTGCCTCCAATGGGGCATCTGTTTGTTGAAATATCTCAATCGGTATGCCATCAATTCCCGGAGCCTTGTTCTTCGCCAGTTCTTTCATTGCAGCTTTGACTTCTTCCTTCATTACCATTGGTTCTAGATCATATGCCACTTCCTGAAATGGATGAAGATCCATCAGTTCTTTTTGGTACAGTGACTCTGTGTATTCCTGCCATCTTCTCTTGATGTTTCCTGCATCATTCAATATTTTGCCCATAGAATCTCTCGATAAATAATGTTTACATTAGGTAGATAAATTCCTTGGAGTGATTAGTGGTGGGAGAACAGAAGGGCAGTGTTTGCACAGGGAGATAGCTCAGGGGTTGGGAGTCCACTGGGAGAGAAGGACAGAGGGAAGAGGTAACTACAGGGAGGAAGTGGGAAGAGAGCTGTTATATCGTGGGGAATTTCAGTCAATGTTGTTAAACAAAGGAGCTCTAGTGACATAGTGCCTAAGGCATTTGACTACTAACTAGAAGGCTGGTGGTTCAAACCCACCACCTACTCCTCAGAGGAAGATTGGGCAATCTAATTCCGCAAAGATACTGCCTCAGACACCCAAGGAGGGGTCGCTATGAGTCGGATCTGACTCAATACCAGTGGTTTTCTTTTTTGGTCTTGAAACAAAATGTGTATGAAATGCTGTCTTTTGGTCTGTAAACTTTCTCCCAAATCATGATGAGGAAAAATAAAAAGGATCAGTTGGAAACATAGGAAAGCATTAGCTTACTTTTTTCTTTATCCTCAGTTTCAAAATACAAATAGTTCAGAAAAGTAGGAGATTTTCCCCAAGGTTGTGGCTAACTCAGTTGATGTCAAAACCTACCCTGACATGACATGAAGCCTTTTATAGTCTTTGTTTATCTCCCCTTTGTGGACATTCATACGTTTCTTTCGCAACATATATGATGATGAGGTACTGCTGCATTCCCCACTCGCAATGTTATGTAACATACAGTATATATACTTTATTACCTTCCTAAAATCTGAAATATTCTGGTGAAGCATAACTAACCCCAACAGTTTCAGATAATGAATTCTAGACTTTGGGAGCTCTGGTAGCATAGTAGTTAGGGCACTTGACTGCTAACCAGAAGGTTGGTGGTTCAAACCCACCAGCCACTCCCCGGAAGGAAGATGGAACAATCTACTTCCGTAGTGATACTGCCTCGGAAACCCAAGGAGGGCTCGCTATGAGTCGAGTCCGACTCGACAGCACATAAAAACAATGACAACAACTTTGAATCTGAGTATTTTTGCACTTTTTAATTGCAATATTATTTTCTAATAAGAACCATTATGTGACAGTGGCTGTGGAGGACTGTGAAGTAGATATGTTATATAACACAAACTCCAAAATATATTGCCAAATGAAGATACAAACTGGTGTGCATAATATGCTTTTGTTTGAATATTAAAAAAAAAATACAGAAGGGGGAAAGATAGACACAGTGCATAGCATATCTCTAGGTAGATAAACAGAGCTAATATCAGACTGAGAACTTGAGTCACTGATGGGAGGAATTCTTATATGCATGTATGTGTATTTGTAGTACTCACATTTTCACTATGTGCATTATTTCTCTTTTCTTGAGATTTTAAATTGCACAAATATACATAGGAATGCCTCTCATAAAAAACTTAAAAATTCCATTTAACTTCCAAATCCATTAAAAGCATTGATTTTGTAATAATAAAAAAGAAGAAATAATCATCTGTGTAGATATTAGCCTTCTATCATACTTGTTATAATTTATTCCTGTTATTTATCATTAGGGTTACATCTAGAGGATGGGTTGCAGAAACCTTTAAATTTCTAAATATTGCATATATGGTATTGCTAAGATACCAGAAACAAGAAGTAGAGAATAGAATGGCTAAAGATGTGTGCTAATCAGTAGAGGTGGCAATTTATTCCCAATGGGCCAGACTGAGCATTGAGAGCAAAGGTTGGAAGCCATCAGTATACTGTCTGAGCAGCAGAGCAGAGTGAGATATTTGGAAGGTATCTTTTAGGCAAATGAAGTATAGGAGGCAACAAAATAGAGAAAAGAAACAAGCAGATAAAAAAGTGGTGAAAAGATTAAATTTCATGAATGCAGCAGTGTTGTTGGTAGATGGAAGGTTTTTTAATTGTTTTCTGCAATGTGTAGAATTATAATTTTGTATTGAGATAAGGCTTGGTATTTATAATAGAACTAAAATACTGCTTGGCTAAACAGAGTGAGAAAGGTTAAAAGTCCATTTACCACTAATAAAATAGTGTAGTCTGAAATAGGGGGAAAAAAATCCAGCTATATGCTGCATTTCACTGAAGGCATATTTAAATTAACTTTTTTACTTGCACAAATATTTGTAGTTTTAGTCCCATCAACAGCCTCTTTTCAATGAAAAGCAATAAATTACATCCTTAAAACATGATATTTGATGTTTGTTTTCTTTGGTGATAATTTGTTTTTCAGTATTGTAATAATTTTAATCCTGGTTTGTAATGTCCACTAAGTTAAAAAAATTAATGTCAGGAAAAAAATGTTATTTAGATATTTACTTATGTACTCACAAACATTTGTTACATACAAAGTATTTATTTAAAAATGCAATCATTGATGGATAGCTACAGTGATGTATATTTCATAAAGCAAATACAGTAAAATGTCAGTTACTGAATTGTTGTCAATTGCTGGATAGCTGTACGTTTGAATGTTTTCAGAATAAATGTTGGGAAAAAACATAACTTCTAATATAAAAGCTAGTGTGAATTAAAAAATAGTTTCGAACAAATAGTAAAATAATAATATAATATACTTGAATCCTTTTTGTTTTCTATTGATTGAAAAATCTATAATTCTTTTTGTTAGTGGAATACCTTTTTTAGAGTACATGTATTAGATATAAAAATTATTTTTGCCTTTTGATGCAAATTATTTTAGACTTATAAACAGCATAATTATGAACATTGGTAAAGATGCATCGAAAAATTATAAGGGATTATAAAACATTTTTGAGGTAAGCATAAATTACAGCAGACAAAGGTTTAGCAACTATTTAGAACTTTTATTCTTCTATTTTAGGGAATCTGGAAACATCAAAGCTGGATTAGAACATCTGGTAAGTTCTAATTTTCTCTTGAACATTTGCATCATCTTTGATATCTGCATTCTAAAAGAACACTTTTGAATGAGCTTTGAATACCTTGTATTGAGAAAGTCAACCATTTCCCAAAGGGTCAGCTTACTGTTATTATGTGAAGGCTCTTACATTTTCATTTATCTTATCATTTCAAGGGAATTTTAAATTTTTAAAAATTGCTTCTTTTTTTATGTAGAGATGAAATAAAATGGATGACAACCTTTGGATTGATGATTGCTTTAATTATAAACAAAAATTGTTTGGTGTAGAATTTTTGGCATATCTTGATCTGACAAAACAAGCTTGTGTTTTAAGAAAGACACAATCAAATATTGCATGCATAAATATGGTATGTTTTAGCAGTTTAACAGCTTTGAAAGAAGTACACAGCTTTGTTTTTCCTGATGTCTTTGCTTTATGAATAATACATTGATTGAAACTCCATTCAGTTTTGGAATATAAAGTAATTGAGATGCAAAATTTTGGGTTTAAGTAAACATTTTTAAAGTGCAAGTGAAATCCAAACTGATTTAACATTAAAATCTGTCCATTGATCAAAATATTGGAAAAACTGTTGCACTCTAACAGGTCCAAAATTCACAGAGCTTGCCATATTGAGTGTTCATTACATCATTAAGTAGCTCATTTAAACAGAGCATTATAATGTCGTGCTCTGGTTTCTGGTCAAATCCAAATGTTGAATAATTAATTAGAGATTCTATTGTAAATACAGTCTAAGTACTTTCTTAATCCGAGGCTTTATTCGTGTATCATACTTTAGCTTTGTTAACTATTAATGTGCTTTTGCTCTTCTTCCACAAAAGCAAATAATAGCAACAGGCAGCTTCATTTTCATTTCTGGTAGTTTTAAAGTTGGAAGGATTTTTTTTTTTTTTTTTTTAGTTTTCCTTTCAATAGAGAAAGGAAACAGGAAACCTAGCCTTTTAAAAATGACCCTAAAATTGCATCCTGTTTATTGAAAAGTGAGATATAATGATCTACTTAGAAATGTTGAACTATATATTTGTCAGGATTTGAAATAAGTAAATAACATTGTTATTCTCATTATTGAGAGGTATTTCCTAAAACTCTTTTTATCACTTTATAGTTGGTTTATGAATATAGGTTTATCCTATACTTAGGATGTATGCACATCAGAATAAAAATGTTAATCTGAAACATCACAATCATATAAATAGGTGGCTTATAACAAAGGCAGAACAGCATAGTGTCAAATGACTTGTATTTTATCCTTCTCTTGTAAATTCTTAGTTATTAAAAAAAAAATCATATTTCCTTTGTTCATGTTCCTAAGTAAATAATGAGTTTGTTTCTTTAAATTTCATATTTTTTAACACTTAATTAGTAAGAGCTAATTTTCAGTCACTATTTAACAGATTTACATTGTACTTATCTTATATAGGAGCCTTGGTGGCACAGTGGTTAAAGCACTCTGCTGCTAATGGAAAGGTTGATAGGTCGAATCCACCAGCTGCTCCATGGGAGAAATACGTGACAGTCTCCTTCTGTAGAGATTTACAGCCTTGGAAATCTTATAGGGCATGTCCTGTAAGATTGCTATGAGTAAAAATTGACTTGAGAACAGTGATTTGGTTAAGCAGTTTTCTAACAGTGCTTTGGGCTGCCAAGGTAGTTTCCCAAAGCAGATGGGGCTCCATACTTCTGGTGGCCACTTTAACCAGAATAGTTACACTTTTGTATTGCTGTGTGAACTGTCAAAGTTTCTTAGAAGATTTCATATGAAGAAAGCGTTGTCCAGCTAAAAGATTTAAAAACCTTTGAAGAAACGTAGACACTTAAAGTCAAGAATAAGTGTGTTGTTATTCGTTCTTCTCTAGTCTTGACTCTCAAACTCACCAAACTCACTGCCATCTGGTGGATTTCAAGTTGAGTCTATTCTTGACCCTAAGTTATGTTTAATTTTGATGTGGCTCCGTAGACAGCAATCATATTTCAAAGGTAATGCATTTCAGGTAACTCACTGCCACCGAGTTGATTTTGACTCATAGTGACCCCACCTTGGGTTTCTGAGGTGGTGCCCCTTCCAAGTACCCTTTTGGGAGCTCTGGTGGTGTAGTTCCTAAGGCATTTGACTGCTAACCAGAAGGCTGGTGGTTCAAACCCTCCAGCCACTCTTTGGAAGGAAGATTGGGCAATCTACTTCCCTAGTGATATTGCCCCGGAAACCCAAGGAGGGGTCGCTGTGAGTGGGGATCAACTTCACAGCAGTGAGTTATCTCTATGGAATAGATTGCCCAGTCTTCCTTCTGAGGTTTAAACCGCCAGACTTTTGATTAACACTCCAATGCCTTAGGCACTATGCCATGGGAGAGCCAGGATTATTACATAGTTAGGTAGTGAGATGAAGATAATTTTAATGCATTTTATCTAAGTTGTTTGAAAACTCTGTAACTTGACATAGTTTAGTTTATCCACTAAACTAGGTATGTAAATCTGAACAGTATATGCCTATATGTGTATGTGTGCATAGCTTTATGTACCACTAATAGTTGGTACTGTCCTCATAACTCCCAAAGAGGGAAGTGAAGTTGCAATTTACTGTTTGAACATTAATGAAATGTCTAGTTCCTGTGGGCTCCTGAAGTTTGTGTTTTTCCACTTCATCCTGAGCATATACTTTGTAGCCCTCCTTTCTAGTACACATAGCCCTTCTTTGAATAGACAGTGTAGCCCATATACAATTAAAAGTATACCTAATAGGTTGATTTTGAAAAGTTACATGGTAAAAAATTGAAATGAGAAGAGTATCACACATATTAGGAATCAATCTGTTCTTTATCTGGTCTTCTTCATTCTTTGTCTTTTCTAGATTATTTATTTGGACTATCATACAAAATTAGCACTATAACAAGAGAGGATAAAAACTCAGTATAAATTTACCTCAGTTTAGAAAAATGACAGATGCAACATGCTATACTAGTCACAAGGACACATGTATAGTTGCACTGTCTTTGTACTGGATGCTTATGGGTTCTTCTTGGTATATAGTTATAAGTAACCCTGCGAGGGAGAAGTGGATATGGGTGTATAGAAAAAGAATGGGAAGTTAGATGGACTGTGTTCTCATGGAATTTTTTCAAGGGCTGATTTACTTTATTTAGTGTCCCACTCTCAAGCCCTTTATTCAGCCTTTTCTCCTATCATTCATTTTCTATGGTGACAGTGTTTCCTGGGGACTGTCTGGCTTTTCATTCTTGACTTAAATTTCTTACAATATACTGCTGAATATCATTTTATTTTACTTTGAGAAATTTATCTACTCTCCTTGTCCACTATCCATGTGTGTTTATTGCCATCATCCACTGATGATGCTTTCCTGATGACTATGAAACGGAGATTTTCTAATTTGGCTTTTTCCTTCACACTTAGCAATGAGTATTATACTGTAAGAAAGAGCTCAACCGTCTTTCTTATTTTATCTATTTATTATGAACAAGGACTCATGGATATCTGTTTTATGAAATATGTTATTGTCAATTACTCTCCTTAACTTTTTGACACACAAATTATCCCAAATTTGTCCAGTGAATATCCTTTCACAAGGGCCTATAGGTCCTTTTGACATGCTCTCATCTTTTTTTTTTTTTTTTTAAAGCAGCTTCTTATTTTCTGGTACAACATGTTCTAGGCTCATCTTACAGTATCTTCTCTGTCCTATTCCTGGAATTAACCATTTCTTCACAATTTCTTTTTAAAGGGAAATTATATTTAGAAGTCAACATCTGAATATGTGATATTGTCTTTGTCTCTGGGATTTCATTATTTCTAGGACTTTCCAACTTTCTGTTGATCGAGTGATAGATTTTTAAGAACTCATGAATCATACATACCTTCTATTCCAATTCAGACCACTGAGTTTTTCCTTGCCTTCCTTCATTTCATATTTGTATTTCCTTTCATTCAAAATAAGAACACTGGTGCCTAAAATCATTCATTTGTTCAGTCATATCCTGCATGGAGTTTTAGAGTCACTACACCCATACTTTGTGAAAATCAAATGTACTAAAAAGAATGCAAGATTTGTTTGCAGTTTTCTCCCCTAAGTGCACTTATGTTACTTATTTGAAATCTAGTTGCATTCATTTGTTTTTGTTCACCTTCAGTTTTAGGTGCCTTTTCTTCCTGTTCTTGTTAATTTAATTATACCCACTCCTCCTTTATTGACATGTTTGGATTCCAAAGACCAAGTCATTATATGAAAGTTGGCATTATGTGGAAATGAAGAATGACTGCATCAGATCACAAAATGGAGAATGACTACATCCTTATATAATTGCCAGGTGACATCATTACGTAACTGCCAAACCACTAAGAATCATGGCCCAGTCAAGTTGGCACATACCATAACCATACAATCAGTGTAACTGTTGCCTTGCCACTTCGGTGTTTGTACTGCTACCAGATGTATATTGTTATTGTGCAAAATAGTTAGGTGGTAGATTTTTAAATATTTTTGTAAATGTAAAATGTCAAATAATAAGAAAGTCAGTAAGTGAAGAGTAAGCATATGTTTGATCATTAGAATTCTTCCAAAATCAAAAGTTTACACAGTGGTATTTTCTGAGAAGCGTTAATTCCTTCCTTTCTAGCCTATTCCTCTATACTTTTCATAGGTAGCCAATTTTACTGATGTACTCTTTCTTCCCTTTCTCTATTTTCATAAAAGGTAGCATTTGTTCATACTTTTTTATGCTTAATGTTTTTCACATAACAGTATATTCTGGAAATCACTCCATAATTCTATGTGTACCATTATATTTTCTGTGTTTCTCTGTTTGAGAATGTTGTTTTTGTTATTGTCAAGAACTGTGAAGGCTCTGAAGTTTACCCTGTTTGCATGTCTGCCATAGTTTCATAGATGCTGGCAAAAGACCTGAGATTCACAAGTGACTGGAGACAAAGGCTTTATTACTAAGCACTACAGGAGCTCTGGTGGC